GACTAACAACACTTGTCTTAATTCTCATCATATTGTATTTATTGATAACACTAATAATGGTTCGGAATATACTTTATCTTCCTTTCTGTTTCACGCATGTCTTATATTGATTTTATTCAAATGTCTAATCAATTTTTACTCATGTATATAAACAAAACAAAAAAGTCATTTGAGTAAATTGATGTGATTATGAGCAATAATTTGTGCTCGAAACGTGGTCATCAGTTAATATTACTGTATAACACTATATGATTTTATCAAAATAAAACTTTATCCATAATGGAGTTATACTATATCACAGTACCCAAGTTTTACATTTATATCAATAATTCAGGCACTACTCTATTACATACACAAATTACATCTAGGAGTGATAACTACTTCGAATTTAACAGTCCTTTATAAGCTACCTAACTGAATAATGACATTACAGGTGCAAAAAATTGTCCACAAGTTTTTTGTTGTTGTCATGTTCTCTGAGCTGGATCGCTTAGTTGTGAAGCTTTCATTATCGTTTTACATAACACACTCAGTGTCAAACACAGAATACGAGCTTCACAGTTACACCATCCAGCTCAAAGAATGTAACAGTAAAAGCATCCACTTGAACTACAAATCTCCATTATTATTTCAACGTCTGCAAGTTCATTCACTGTTTGAACAACAATAATGATAAGTATTATTATTATTTTCAGATTTCGATACAGTCAACTGAGTTAATTCAGGAATTAGGGTAATAAATAACTCTAATCGACTGTTGAGTAACTACTTATTATTGTTACTACAGTAAATCACACAAAGAAGAATCAGTGGTCAAGGTGAGAATGAAATGTCTTCATAAACTAAACTATTTAGTGAATTGAAATTAATTCAAGTTTTTTGTCAGCCGAATCAGTCGACGCTTAGACTGATTAATTTTATGGTAGGTATCCTATGTATTTTGAAGTTATTTGTACACATTTAACAAATGAAAGATAAACATGAGAGAATGATAGCAGAATTTATATCTAAAAACTGAACTTTGCAGTTTTCTGATCATTTATACAACTAAGTACCTTTCTATTTCGCGTTATAGGCATTGAGCCACCTGTTCTATTTCACTTTCTTTTTGATCATTATGTCAAGTTGAAGTGTTTATCAGACGAGTGAAGTACTTAATTGTTCATAATATCAATTAAACAATTAAACAAGAAGAAAAACTAGTCTCTATGCTGTACAGAAGTCTTTAAATCAAAGTAAACCACTAACGTCTTACATAACACACACATCCTACATCTTGATTAATTCTTAAGGTTATAAAATTCACCTCATATACCCAACACAATTATTTAAATGACTTCAGATAATGTAACAAATCCTATTTTTCCTTTTATGCAGATTAATAACCCTCACCCATACACAGAAACAAGTACACCTTTTGAGTGGCTCTTGCGGTGAAACATTTCAAGACAATGGTGACGATGAGCTGAATGATATCCCTTAAAAGAAACTTTGATTGCAATAATAAAGAAGCATAATATGTCTTATTTTACACTGTGTGAATTATTAAAGCAGATGGCTTTCCTATCCTTTGTTACTACATATTTTTGCTTCTCAATATTTTTTGTTTCCCTTCTCACTTTATTTGTTTTCCTTTATAACATACACGACAACATACACAATTCTGACTAGCAAATTTACTTCTCACTTCATTTATGTAATCAATAGTACTTGTCGGGACCTGCACCTGCTAGGCAGTTGTAAGAACATTTAATCATTGACTACCATATCTACTGGCGATTACAGCACAAGTTACTAATGCTAGCAGGTGCATAATATCAGAGTGAGTCTATTTCGTGTTCAAGTCTTTGTGGTTAACAGGAGAGGAACTATAAACAATTTAGCTTACATTTTCTCTGGTCTACACTCCTGTTTATTGTCTTGTTATTACTTCTACGTCAAAAGGGACAATTAATCCACGAGGATAGTTTTACTGTGGTTATTGTTGACACATTAAATTCTGCATGTTATGCAGTGATCCGTATTGTTGAGTTCACTTTTCTACGCCCTATAATTCTTCCCTATATCATTTATTAATCTTGTAACATCATAGTAACATAACCATTTAGCTAGCGGTAAAAGTCTAACTTCTGAGGTGATTCATTTATTCTGAAGGGAAGATACTTTATTATATTGCTCAAAAATTTTTCTCTTAGCCTTAGCTTGTCAGTGGTCCGGTGGAATAAAAATCTGTATAACTCTAAAACTTGAGGCATTGGCCTCTGAGTCAGAAGTTAGAATCGACTACTTACAGTATCACAGTCAGTATCAAAGTACCACCAGTAACAAAATCATTCAAGAGATTTCATTTACCCTTAAAAGAATGCTAGTTTCGAATACAGTTTTATGCACTTTCCTTTCTAATTAAATTTTTTTAAAGCTGTCGAAAATAAAATATAAGCAGACAGGTAATACTTAGATGGATTGAAGTTATACTAGTTATTTCTATGAAATAAATGAGGTATATTGTTGGGTAACTTATAAAATGTTCAATTCCAGTTAATGCGGACTCACTTATCTCACTCCTACATATCCAAACAAGGAAAATTAGCAATTAGATGTGACATCTTTCATGACTGTTTGAATGGTATTAGTCTGCAGAATACTGACAAAGTAATAAACAAACAAATGAATAATTCAGTTTTAAGTTATCTGGAAAAACAACTGCTTTTAAATTATCTTTCATCTCAGTTGACTACTGAGTTATAGAACTATTAAAACCTAAAGACACTGAATATTGTATGCTGGTCAGGCTATATCGCAAATGTGAGCGAATAGATTCCTATTCTTGGTTCTGTTTGAAGTATTGAATACACAGTTCAAGAGTGAGACATAATAACTATCTTGGACTCCTTGGGCATCAATAGTTCTTTGACTAATATATGTTTATGATGAAAACAACTACAGGTAAAACAACCCTCTCAGTCGATACAAAATCAGTAGAGAAGAAACGTGGCGGTTCTGGCATTTACAGATAATATGGCGAAAAAAGAGACTGATTTCTATGTATCCATAAAACTTCCTACTACCTGTCAGTTTATTGAATCAAGACTATATATACACCACTAGGATATTAGTGGCACACTGACTGTCATTATCAAGCAATATAATAATACAATCGATTTATCGAACTTTAAAACTGTACGAAATTCAACTGAAGTATTTTTTTCAAAGCATGAGTATGTTTTCGTCAGATAAATGAATTAAAATATGTGCTCTAAAACCGTTCTTTCTGTTTTTTAGTATGCTTAGGTAGTCATGCACAAAACTGAACTACGTTAGCAGGATGAATGATTTTCAATTCACTTATATATAGAAAAAGACTGAATGTGAAAACAACAATAATATCAGTATTAAAAATAATAATAACAAAATTCAGTGTAACTGTGGGTTAGTCAATCAAAAACAGTTCAGTCACTGACTATCGATTTGATTATGAACTTGACTATTGAGCTTAATTTATGACCATGGATTTGATCTTCATTCACGAGAAAAGCATCAGATTCAGAAAGTACTCAGTGTAGAATAATAACTAAGCCGTTCTATGCCAGCTTGAAGTGAGTTTTTTTCCACATAAGTGGAGCAGTGTCTAAGTTTTTCCATAAATTCAAATATTTTATTCAGAAACTGTTAACTTAAAGTTGAAATATACTGAATTTACGAGAAGCAAGTCACCTTAACAACCGTCAATTTATGAAACATGTTTTCATCAGGGTGTTGGAAAGACTGCGTTTAACAAACTTGGATACTTTTATAAATATAAAGTGGTGAAACTTGGGGTAAGCAAAAAATTATGGTGTCTTGTTAAGCTTACATAATTTATTTGATCTATGAAACTCCTTGTAGACATGGACTTATATTGTATGTCCTTCACAATATTCCGTTACCCTGAGATAGGTTCACTGTGCATCTGCTAGTTAGTTTATGACAACAAATGTAATGACTAGTTTGGCTCATGTATCAAGCTTCTACTAGTTTACAGAAAGTGAATAATTACTCTCTTAGAAGCTCAGCATACCAGCCATCAGACTTCGTTTATAAATTTTCTTGGTTATGCTACGTAAATTTGATTCTGGAGCCTGCACATGATGTGAATATTTTAGGAGATAGAAAAAAGATGTAAATATAGTGCAATTCAACAGTAGAGTGAACTATTTAATCATAGATGATGAGCCATATCTAAGGCATAAAGGTTGGATAAATAGTTCTGTTTCCGAACAGTCAAACAAATTACTAGCAGCTTCATAGGAAATGCTTTTACCTGTAGACATATAATGAACTAATTCAAAGTAAGATAGAACATGTAACAACAAAAATTATTTTACATTACCATGAACCATGTTTTTAAAATGGCTTTCTAACAACTAACATTCTTAAATCTACTTGATCGTTCCCGTAATGAAGCAAGTACTTGTTTGTATTCAAGACAAGAAATTACTGAAACTGAAGACTTTACACTAGCCAATTAAATTTGAGAATTGCCTTGTTTGATATAAAATTAAAGACGTAAGCCTACTGCAAATATTTCAGTAAGCATTCCTTTGTTTATCGAACACACTAAAGTTAAACCTTTAAAGCTGATTGCATAGCCACGGAGTATTGTGATGTTACTGAGTATTATAGCATATCATTTTACTAATGCGGTGTCTGAAACGTTTAAAGACTGATTAATCCTTGTTTCTGAACAGAGAATAGTTATATTATGCCAGAAATCGTAACAATTAGTCATACTGAATAAACTAACAGGAATTATTTTATTTCAGAATATTTTACTGATTAGTTTAATTGTACTCAGATTGCTTAAGAAAAAAATCTGTAATTGGCATTTCAAAACTGAATTCAGGTAAATTAAAAAAGTAAATAAATCATTCTTGAATTATTCTGAGCATCAATAAGGTAGTAAAAAATTATTGTCCAGAAAGAACAAACATTTTTACAATGACAATGATAAAAGTACTTACTCTCTTCAAGGGATGACTGTAATGGAGTGAACTGAATTGCTTCATCAAAATGCGAACTATCCGTCTGATTGTGACTATCTGACAGAAATGATGGCTTACTAACACCATTGTTATCATTACTGGTAGTACCAGTAATACTGCAGATGTTCGGCTGATGCTGCTGGTACAAAAATTCAGTCAGGTGCTCTAGTGAATGGATAGCTGTCTCACAAAAGTTATTCATTTTCGCCCCATTGTTAGGATATTTTGAATCTGCCGAAGATAGAGTATGTTCCTGTTGTTGTTGTAAAATATTACACTGATGAAAAGATTGTTCCGATTGCAAAGTAGTTGGATTGCATTTTGACGGACTCAAACAGATGTTATTACCATTATTACTATTCGATAATGCCATGAAATGTTGAGCTAATTTCTTAGCTAGATGTATAGTCGATTGTAAGTCTGTTATATTCATTTTTGTACTGTTTAACTGATTGATCACATCATCATTTAAAATTACATTTTGTTGGCATATACTATTTGGCTGAATATAGCTGTTCACTGACTGTTTGGGTGATGACTGTGTAATATTCGACTGTTCTTTCATGAAGTCCATAATTGGTGAAGGTGTTCTAAATGCACTTGTCCCATTACCAATTATATTGGAATTAGTGGATATTAGGTCGTGAGTAGTTTGATTACCATCAAATCCATGATAACTGTTCATAAATGTATAATTTGGAAATTGTGAAAACAATTTGTAAAATGGGTTACTATTATCACTATTACTAGTATTGATAAAATTGTTATTAATCGGATTGGTATTCATGTTGTGAATGCCAGTTTTCATAATGTCTGCATTCATATCAAATTTGTTCGTTGAAAAATTCAAGTCAGAATACATACTTGAATGATGATTATCTTGTAAGATATTCATTGTGTGATCTTGAATCTGTGAATCAGAGATCCGGTATCGCTTTATTTGTACCACCATTTTTATATGAAATCTAGGGTGATTGAAATGTAGTATTGTATGTAGCGGAACAGTTGTACCAAAACCAAACCATACATTAAAGACATCATCGACACCGGCATTACCACCACCCTATACTTGCTGTTCCATCTCATTTGCTGAATATAAACACTATTAACACCTCTTATCTTCATTGGTTCAAGTGATCGCACAACTTTTCTGTCTTCCTATCTCTGCCTCTAACTCTCTCTCACCCTCTGCTGTTCTCCCTCACCCACTCATAAATACACTGGATAACTTTTAGCTGTTGCCCACTTTCAACAAGCCGGAAAGAAATACTGAATGCATCCACTTAATCACTAACCATAGGGGAATGACAAACAATGCATTTCTAGACTGTTTTCATGCAAAGGGTAGAAAAACACTTTATTCAGTGGTATACGAGGATAACCAATCCAGTAACAATATAAAAAATCGTTAAAATATGATTGGCCGAATTTTAGGCAGACAAAATATCGCGCTAATGGATGTTGTTTTGTATCAATGTAAAAGCAAACGACATATTCATATTGATTCCATAAGCTATTGAGAAAGAAAACAAGTCTGGAGTTACTTCCTGATTGATAATTTGGTTTATCAAGATTTTGCTACTTTGAATGGCGCATTTTTTCAGGAGCCTACAAAAGTTAAACAATTTATGAAAGTTATGAAGCTTTGAAAAATTCTTTCTCCCTAGTTCGAAGTTCTTCAGTAGTGTGTACCTTTGACCCTGTTACGAATCAAAAAAGCCGAGATCCTGTTCTACTTTAAATGTTTAATATTAGTAAAGACATGGGAATGTGCTTTTCTGTTTCCAAAAGGAATTAGTCCTATAGTTATTTTGTAAATTTAGCAGATAATTTTCCATAGATGACATTCCGTACTTATAGTTTTGTTGCTCTTTGAGATTTAAGTTTTCATACCGTTCAACAGTATAGGAAGGTGGAGTAAACAAATAAAAAAAATCATCCTTTAAAAATCTTTAATTTTCTATATTGTTACTGAATAAATGCTGAAAAATACAGTGAACGGTGACTGGTTTGGCCTTTCCCTTATTTCTTTTTTAACTATTTACTTACAATAATGTCATTTGATTTCCTCTTAATAGAAAATCCTCAAATGTTCAGACTTTGGGTTTGTAGAGATTTTATCGATTTTGTTGCAGACTTCATCACAAACTTACATTACTTGGAAAATGAATGAAGACAGAAGAGCACTGGGCATCTGTTTTGTTTTATTCTGCAACTCTTTAGAAGTGGTATGATACAGACAATGTGTTCCAACGGAATATGAATTTCACATATTCTCACAGTTCAATACAGCATTAGCAACAGAATACTATGTATATTTGAACATTCTATTTCATATCCTTTAATGTAAGACAAAATCCCACACTCAGTGATTGGTTGACGACTCAAAGGAATAATATTGGGTTGTAGTGCTGCAAACATTTACAGTTGTCAAGTAATTGACTATATATATATATATATTCCTTTGAGTTTCGAATGGGACAAAGGGCTTCAGTTGCACATCTCCACTTTGTCCTATCTTCTTCGATGGTCTTCAATCGGGCCAACGAGTGCCCGTAGTCTCTCATGTCCTCCTCGCACCATCTCCTCCATATCACTCTCGGACTCCCCACTCGTCGTTTCCCATTCGGGTTCCACTCGAAGGCCTAGTGCGCCAAATCATTCGACATTCTCCTCAGAGGGTGTCCATTCCATTTCCGTTTTCTCTGACATATTTGTCGAGCAGTAGGTTCGGGGTTGATTCATCTTCAGAGTTTCTTGTCGCATCGTTTATTCCCTCCAGGATCATGCGACTTAGTATTATAGTTGGCGTGGATAAGAGTATTATTCCGTGCCAGTGTTTATAGAGGCCTAAGTCACCCTTCTTTGGAAGCTTGACAAGGTAACCAGCCTTTCTTTCCTCCCGAACATTTCACAATAGCAGCGTCAGCATATCCGCTGCAGTCTCTGGGTTCGTATTCAGTGCTTCATAGGGCATCCTGTCTCGTCTTGCTGCCTTCCAGAATGGTTTTCAGTAACTTGATTGCACCCAGGATTTCCACTTTCGTTGGGGGATTGGTGTGCACTGTAAGCGGCTCTGTGCATACTGTTGGTGTTGTTTTTGTGCGAGTTGTAAGTGGTGGTCGATTTAAGAGCTCTTCAAATGATCAGCTCGTTATTCCCTTTGCTTCTTCTTTTCGGTAATTAGGTTTCTTTCACTGCTTCGTGTTGGTTTCACTTGTGTCGATCCCTTGACGGACAGCAAGATGGTTGTCTGGCATAGTGGTCTGAAGCCCCTGTTACCTGCAGCCTCTTCTGCTTCAGTTTCCAGTGTGTTGTAGAATTATCTTTTGTCTTTGCCAAGGCTCTTCTTCCCTTCTTTACTAAGTGAGTTCTACAGTGGACATAGTTTATCATTTTTCTGTCTATCTTTGCACTAATCCATCTTCTGTTTCACAATCCCTGTGCCTTATTAGCTTTCACATGTCTTCAGAGAGCCAATTCTCGCCTTGTCTCTTCTTTCTTCCCAGAATGGTTGCACACGTTTCCTTTAACAGCACTTGTAGAAAGATCCAATGTTCTTCCATGAAGGTTTCCTCGGTGATATCACGTAGTGTCTTTGACTTCGCTGTGATATTTGTAGTGAAGTGTCCCTTAGTTTCTGAATGGTGAACTCGAATTGTGGTCTATCTCCAGTTGTTTTGAAGGCTTGCAGCTTGACCTTCAAGGTTCCTTCAACTAGATGATAGTGTGAGCCTGCATCTACTCTCCTTCTCGACTTTGTGTCCAGCAGGTTGCGTCTCCACTTCCTTGAAACTGAAATGAAGTCTTTCTGGTTTGTGGTGTGTCCATCAGGTGAAATACGTGTCGCTTTGTGCCTATACATGCTGCCTCCGATCACTAAATCATTGAGAGCTGAGAAGTCTGCGAAGGGTTCTCCATTGTCGTTGGTTTCTCCGAGAGCCTCTCGACCCATAATGAGTTAGCTTCCTGTATATGCTCCCATTTCGGCTTGCATTCATATCACTCATGAGGATTTTGATGTCACCATTCGGGATGTTGTCCATTACTGTTTGTAGTTGTCTATAAAATCTTCCTTCTTCTTTTGATCTGAGTTGTTTGCAAGTGCGTAGCGTTGGATGATTGTAGGTTTCCTTCCTTTTGAGTTGCGCCTTGTAGTCATTATCCTGCGGGAAGAGATTTGTTCCAACTGCATAACAGCTTTGGATGCTGTACTTGTCAGTTGCTGGTGAAATCATGATAGCCACTTACTGCCTCAGTGTGACCGTGGCTGTCGTCTGGATGACCGTAGTAGGTTACTGACTCTCCAGTTGGTAATTTGGAGAGTCCACAATCATTCTACCTGCTCCCTCAGATTCTTAACATTTCCACGCCGAATTTTCTCATTTCTTTGGCTACCTGAACAGTCTTGCCGGCATCGTACGTTGTGCGAACATTTTTTGCTTTCATCGGACGAAGACATATCGGCTGATTGGCTTTCTGAAGGCTTTCACCGGTTCACGTCATTTCACCTCCCCGATTTCAGCGAAAAATAATTATGTTTTTTTAATGTTTAATAATTTTCTTGAGCATTGGATTCTCTGTAGCGATTTAATTGGTTTTCCGCGGTTGTGTCGCTAGTCTCACTCCCAACCCTCCCTCTTTATCCGAGCTTGGTACCGGCTAGAAAACTAGCGGGCCAGTAAACTATGCGAGGTTCATGGTTTTGGAGCAGCTGCACAGTACTTCACGATAGTCGCTATAAAAAGCCTTTCTGAAGTCGATAAAACTGGGGTGAAGAGTCGACTATCAATCTAGGCTTTGTTCTGTGATGATATGTACCGTTGCAGAATGGTCTGTTCATGACCTGTTTTTCTTTAATTCAGTTTGGTGCAACTGAAGTCTTCCACTAAGAGTGTCTTGTGGTTTTTGCAGTATGATGCTGCCTGAATTCTCGCTGGCAGTGAGCAGTAGTATGATGTCTTGGCAGTTCTTGTATCGGCTTAATTTGCTCTTCTTTGACGATTTGTCGAGGCATCTTTCTCCCGACTGGAAGGCATCTCGCCATCCTTCGGGTGCTTTTCCAGTTGTGTTGTAAGCACGTCTCTGGATGTGTACTCACTGCTTCTGTGGATTCTGTTTGGTCTATCGTTTTCAGTTTCCAGCAAGTATACGACCTTCAAGACTTCTGTTTTCTCTGAGGGTTGATGTTCGCTAGTAGTTCTGTATCTGTTGACAGTATTTCTGTACGATTTGTAGGTGATGTCCAATTTATAAGTCGTTTGCAGTAGCTAGTCCAACGTTATTCATGTCATTTTCTAATTAAGTTTCCTTCACTACTTCCCGCCGGCTTCATCTGCATTGACTTCTTCCTAAGGAGCACACTGGTTATTTGATATAGTGTTATGAACTCTCTCTCTCTCTTCCCTGCAGCCTGTTCTGCTTCAGTTCCCAGTGTGTCGTAAAAGTGTCTTTTGTCTCTCCTAGAACTATATTTACTCCAGTCCTTTGTTTACTGAGCTGTAGATTGAACTCAGCTTTTACTTTCGTAGTTCGTTGTTCCCCTCCTATCTCTCCATCATTCCTTCCTCCGTCAGTTTCCAAGTGTCCGTGGACAGCCATTCCTTGTCTTGTCTCCTCTTCCTTTCTAGGACAGTTAAACAGATTCCCTCTCATGTCACCATCAGGGATTTCCAGTGTTCTTCTACTTATATTTCCTGGGTGACATGGCTTATCATCTCCGACTTTTTCCTGATGACTGCAGTTACGGTATCCCTCGTGACTTTGTTCATCAAGTTCTCCCTGTCGAACTTGAATTCTGATCGATCTGCAGCTTCTTTGAAGGCTTTCGGATTGACTGAATTGAGGGTTTCTTCTACTAGATAATGTTCTCAACCTACATCTAATCCACTTCTCCATATTGTGTCCAGTTGGTTATGTCTCCTGTTACTGGTGGCTGAGTTGACGTTTATCTGATTTTATGTTGTGTCCATCTGGTGAAACCGTTGTCGCCCTGAAGATATCCTTGTGCTTATATACATT